GGGGGGGGGGGAAATCAAGACAATGTGAGATCATCCCAGCATAATCAAATTATATTTTTGTTTATTTAAACATATAATAACGTAAAAAAGGTCTAACCTTGTACTAGTAACTCCAGTGTGTCCTCTTTCACAGCTAGCTCCGCTGAGTTGCAGTGCCTTAAAAGTAACCACAGTAAAGCTGCAACGATTACTTGATTAGTTGTTAACACAATCCTTTTTGTAAACCCTTTAAATACTAGTAACTAGATCAGGCTATGATCAATACATACTGTAGCACGCTGTAGCCTGTGTCAAAGTGCTCCAATATACACAAAGGCCCCTGGCTCCTCAACGCTGCCTTGAATTCTGTGTGAAAGTGAGACAAAAAAAAAACTTTAGTTAATTCACAAACACAGCAGCGCAAAGAACATCTGACCAAGAAACATACAAGCTCTCTACTCACTGCTGAGATAGGACGGGAGATGTTTTGGGGGAACCACATCCTGAACGACGTACTGGTTGATCCCCCCAGTCTTCACCAGGTCACCCACACACACAGGCACAAGAAAGTCCCACGACATCCTTAGGTTCAAAACAAAAAGCTAGTTTACTTGAACCGGTAACCAAACTAGCTACTTAATTGGCATTGTAAAGTATGTAAGGCTAAACCTACATACAATATATCGTTCGTTATGATCCTTAACGTTACATCATAACAAGTATCGCTACAGCAATTATTTTGCTACGTTCTTAACGCTAACTAAAAGCTAAAATATCAAGCTGAATTAAAGATTTAAAAACACCAGCCTGCCAGCTAACAGCAGTCGACACAACTGTGAGTTTCTTAATAAAATAAAGTCTATTAAACCAAACAGAACAGCTTTGTTGTTGCGAATGAAGCTGCAGCTGGTGCAGTTAAACAGGCTAACCAGCTAACCGGGCTAGCTCAACTACGCAACGTTGTTATTTAACAACAGAAACAACTCCAGCTCCACTTATCCAACAACAGTTTCACTAACTTATATAACTAATAATGTTAAAACGGCGCTCACCTGTACCGCCTGCAGTCCCGTTGACCTCACTTCACAAACGGCTCCGTCGACCGTTTGTCGGCCGTTTGAATCCACACTTTCAAATCCGTTCGTACCCTCGCGCCAAAACTCTGACGTCACACGCGTGCCTTCGTTCCACACGACACCGCCACCTACCGGAGGACGGCGGCCACTACAGCTGCACACCTGAGTCTAATTACACCGCAGATGAAACAAACACCACAGCCGAGTTGTTGTTTTTTTTTGAGGTAGTAGCTGTATTCAAATGATTGACAACACAAGCACCCCCTCTCCCCTGTACCGATGTTTCAGCTACAGAAATGACAATGACTTTTCACAAAATGTCTTATTTCCTATACAGCACTCAATCAAATGTTGAAATGAAATAGTTTTAACTGACTACCACAGGTGACTCACACTGCCAGGATGCAGCATTTGTCCTCATATTCTTTTGCCCTCTTGGTATACTTAAAACATAAAACTAGTGTTTCCAGGCTAAGCACAAGAAACTAACTATACAACAAAGCAAAAAATGGCCACACTTTTCAGAGAAAATACATAAATGTCATAATTGTACATGTGAATAGAGTATAAAGTATTGTGACAACTTGGAACTGTTAAACCATTAGGGGCAGTCGTAGTGTTTATTATTCACTCGTAAAAGAAAATGTAAAAAAAGGAGTCACAATAAGAGCACCAAAGGTAACAACCAAAAAAACAAAAACAAAATTATTGTTAACCGTTTTTAAAAAATCAATACTTAAATACTTTTGTAACCACTTGGCTCCTTCACACACACTGCATCAGACCAAGGCAAATTACGTAAACAAAAACAAAAAGCACCAAATGTTAAGGAAGATGAGAAACAAACATTCTAGTAACTAATGTAGAAATATTCTTCTCATTTTCCATCCGATCAGTCTTCGTGTTTCGTTCCAGGACAACCAGGTGTGTGTTTTTATTTTCTCTTCCTGTCTTGAGAGCATCGTGGACAATACCTGCATGGCACAGACAAAAAACACACACTTCACTGACATGAACGAGTAACAGTTCACACTTTTATTGCACATATTGAAAATAGGATGGTACATTACAGCCTCAGTCTCATTGTTTCTTACCATTTGCCTCTTGGTTTGGTTGTCAGGCCCACACATGCAAAATGGAACCACTCAATGGAGCACTAGAGTAGAGACAAAAACATTATAATGTACTGTTTAAGTATTCCTGCAAATGGAGCAGTTAGTCCAAAACAGGCAAAACAAAAGATCAAAAACAAAATCAATCTTTTCAAGAGAATACAGTGTGATTATTTGTTTTATCTGCTAATTAATCACTCGCTCTGTCATCTCTGACCTTTACCCGCAGAGGAAGAGACACGAGACTGCAGGACTCCTAAACATCTTAATTTGGGGTTAACATCTAGGAAATATCTATAACGGAGGGTCTCTATGTACAATAACTGATTTGTGATATTTAACATTATCAGAACTTCTATTTTTTAGCATTATTCTTCTCTAATCTTCCATTCATTTCAGGCCTGTGCCATTAAAGTACACTGTTGTTGACCTTTGTGTTACTTGACTGGTATTTAATGTTAATTTAAATAAATAGACAAAAATGCCTAAGCTGTTTTGGAAAGGCCAAGGTAAAATGAGATTAATAAATTAATAAATACATTTTCTGTTTCATTTTGTGTTCTTTGATGGGATGTTCTTTATTTTATTATATGTGAAATGTGAAATGTCAATGTCCTCTTCCTGTAACATTATTTCTCTGATGGATCTTCGTCTTGGGAATGTTTACAAAATTCCATCCCATAAAATAAGATTAAGGCAAGTTCAGGCAATTCAACTAACCAGCAGCAGGAAAAGTACACTGGTAACCATAAACGCACTCTAGTTTGTACAATGGCCAATGTGTTATTATATCAATCCCTGCAATAATCACAACTGTCTCTGCAACAAAATTGTCTTGTATTTTATTATATACTTTCTTTCTATGTATTTTTGTCTAGTACCTTCTGTACTTGTATGTGCAATGTTGTTATGTCACTTCTGTCCTTTTTTTTTTATTCTCTTTTATTCTGTTTCACCCTAATCCTTTTCAGTTAAAAACATTTCCAACATCCATCAGTAACAGCCCTCTCCTCTAGCAGAGGCCTTTATTTAAAGTAAAGAGCAATGTCAGTGTCCTTTTTGTAATGTTCATCCCACCTACTTTTAAATTCTCAAATCCCTCACAATATTAAGCCTGAAAGGGGGCCATAAAACAAAACTCACATCAGTGTTGTCACAGCCGATCATCTCGCCGTAAGAGACCTGATGGCACAGACAGTAGGTGGGTTCGTTGGGGTCCACGGGCATGTCCAGTACATCAGAAGGGTGCACATTCCCGAAGTTGGTGGAAGGGCTGTTGAATTCCCCTCTGATGGTGGGAAAAAGTATTGCAAGTCAGAATGGGAGCATGATCATAAAACTAACCACAAATAAACATTTGGTCATGACAAGCTGGGAAGTAGATGCACAACGTACGGTTGAAGGAGTTTGACTTTCTTCTGCGCACTCTTGGGACTGCCATCTTCATCTGAACTCTTCACTTTAGACCTTGTTTTAGCCGTCTTCTTTTCCTTCTGTCTTGAGTCACCTGGGATTACACAATCACTTTAGTATTTAATTAAGTTTGGTTTCAGCTGCCCTGACAGTCCTCGGAGCAAAAAGTACAAATATATTAAGCAAATATAATGGACACACACTTTTCTTCCCCTTACTGGAGGTGGAATCATAGTCCGTGCTCTCGATCTGCTTTTCCTTCAGGTCAGCCTCAAACCGAGCCAGGTCTGTGTCGAGGCGTCTGATGTGTTTGTCGACCTGCAGAAAATATAACTTCAGCAGACCGATTGTGGTGCATATTTCATGTACATACAATACAGCGGATGTATCATTTAGATGTATCCCACGTTTTCCCGCTCATATTACCAATGAATGCACATAAAACATTGTATTTATTTCCAAGATACTAACCATCTCATAGGTCTGCATGGCCAGTTGCACCTTGTCATCTCCAAACTCCTTGCATTTACTGTAAGACTGCTGAATCTGCCTCAGTATGGACAGCTTTTGCTCAGATGAAAGAGTCCTGGCGTTGGCTGTGTACTCTTTAGCCAGAGAGTCTATCTGACCTTTAAGATCTAAAAGAGAGATCAAACTTATAAAACATTGTAACTTTTAAGTCAATGTCAACAAAGTGATAAAACACTGTGTATAATTAATACAAATATGTAAAAAATTATTTCAATGAATATACTCAAAGGAACAATATGTAATTGTTGTGGATACATTTGAAAGATGGCGACAGCTTAGTACTCAAAAGGATTTCAAGACTGATGTCGAGTTGGCTCATTTTCTCCTGAACAGGTAAGCACTGAGCTTCAGCTAAGTTTATTTAGCTAACACTGTCATGCTTACACTCTTTGTTGAGACTAAACCAGGGCTCGTGGGGATTAGCTCAGGATGGTGTGTAGGGATGTTTGTTTTTGCTGTGAAACAATCAGAAAGTAATGTTTATTTCTCTGATTCACCAGCTGCTCCCGGCCCTCTCTCTACTCCTCAGTCAGTCGTTGTCTATGTGTCTCGACCAAACAAACCAAAGGAAACTTCTGAGTATATTTTTTTTGCAGCAGGGGCTTCAGCCAGACAGACGTGTACACAAACTAAACAAACTAGACAAAATGATCAACTTTATGGCAGACTGTGGCTGCTCACTACAAATGAACAGGTGGAACGTGACCGCATGGGAGAAATCCGTGGCTCATAAGAAGCTCATTTGTTTATCAAAATATTATCAGGAACAAGCAGCGGCTGAAGTAAGTTCGTAAGTACCTGAACTTTAGGTTTGTTTATGAACAACCAGAACACATAGTTAATAAACTTTAGATTACTGCAATGACATTTAATGTGGTCTTTCTTTCATCAACTCAATGCTCACCTTTTGCTCATGCGTTCATTTTAAAGTAATAACTACATAATAATTACTACAAAAACAAATTATATGATGATATAAACATGAATCAGGTCTAATTGTAACAATCGTCGGTATAACATTAATAATGTTCATTTTAAATGTACAAACAGTGAAGTGTTTTGATGACCTGATGATCCACAAAGGGAGAAACTCTTGAACTGTTGGTTTAGTGTCCTCAACCTGGCAACCCAGGTGAGCTTCTAGTCTGGGGGAGGAGGGACTGGGGGGAGACAACCTGCTACAATGTTTTGAATTCAGGCTGCAGTACCCGCTTTAAACACTTCATCTTACATATTGCTCCTTTAAATATCAGGTATCTGTTTAACATGCATGGAATTGTATTTACGCCTATGAACAGCTCACCTAAGATACTTTAAACATCTCTCACAGCTTATTTTACTTCATTGTTACCACAAGAAGAAATGTTTACAAACTGTTAGGGAGTGTTGTGTACTAGTTTTCTACTGTAGATCAGTGGCTCCCAAACTTTTTGGCTTGTGACCCCTTAAAATACATGTCTTGTTGTGACTCCTCGTCACAGGTTAGGGCAATACTGTGGGCCAGGGTCCACAGATCGACTTTTATTATTCAAATAGCCCCTCAATATATTGCCTCTGAGTTGGTGGCTGAGCAGAAGAATGATCCTACAGTCTTGGATTGTTTATTTTGAGGGATTTTCCTGAAGTAGTATCCAGTATTTTACAAGAAAAGGGCAAACATTTGGGAGAAAACAGAGAGATATAATTCTGTATAACTCATTTTAATCTACTTTATCATGTTGTGAGCCCTCAGATTTCCCTTTAGGAGGTCCCAACCCCCCAGGCTGGGAACCACTGCATAGATCACATTGTTTAAATCTAAGACATGAACATGGTGTAGTGTACTTTAACAGGCCTGTTTCAGTAAATGAATGCAAACGACATGCTTTTACACCTCAATTCAGGGTCCAAAACCTACACAGATCTCATTGTTCTCACCCTCTGTGCGTTGATCTAGATCCCTCATCAAGTTGAAGTTTCTCTGCAACTCGAAGGGCAAGTTTTCTATGCCTGGCGAGGTGGAAAGGGGGAAGACAACAAACAGTTTTAATCCCACTCTTATGAGATAAACATGAAACAGGTAACACACGCAGGACAGCTAGCTTCAATCATACGCGCTTGGATGATGCTACGGCTGCCATTAACTCTAGCATTCACAAGTATTGCATATTAAATAGCACGGGGCACAAAGGCAGCTGATTTCCCGTGCAGAAACAATTTAAACTATGTTGTATTTTACGAGTAGTGCAGTAAATGAGCTGTACAATCTCAAACAGCATCCCTCCGTCGCTACGAACAGAGCCCAGCAATTAGACCGAGCCGAAGCCCGCCCGCCGACCGTTGGGAAGCGGTTGAAGCAGTTAGCTCCGCGGCGCTGGTTAGTCCTGAGCTACACGACACAACGAAACACAAAGTACAAAGCGAAATATGTGGGTTTAAATGTTTTCCAGCGTGTTTTAACGCATAATAAACAGCTTACTGTCCAAATAGTGCTCCAAGTACATCCCCGCCGCCATCTTAGAAAATGTAAACAACGCAGCTTCCGGTCCGAAATGGACCAATCTGATTGTTTCCCACCCTTGTGAGAGACTCTCCAGCATAAACTCACATCCTAACTAACTAATAAAGTATATTAAATATTAAAGACACACATTAAAGATATCTGCGAGGTGTTTATTACCAGTGGAAACTTAGATTCAAGATATATGCAATTACATTCTGACTGGTAAAAATTCAAATTTAAGACATTTCTTTTTTTTTAAATTTTAACTAAAAACAATGAACCACTGAACTGTATGGATAATTTCAATTAAAGATACCAAATTGGATGTGTAAGAATTAGTTACTACAAGTCAAATTTAAAATTATAGATGAAAATTGGGATTATGACCAATAAAAAGTAAACGGACATGTCCAAATACATTTCTAGATGTTTAAAATGTGATTAGAGGTGGTCTATTTAAAACTATCAGGAGATAAATGTGTTTTCCATAGCTGGCTTTTAGCTCTACTCATCAAATAACCAGAGGATCCAGGTGTATCTAAAAGACAAGTAAAACTTTCGACAGATGAATGATGAATCAAACAAGTGATGGAGAAAAATATCTTAAAAGATTTATTATGTTTCACAGATTTATGGAAGTAGTCCCACCCCCACTCTTAAATCAATAGACAAACATAATGAATATTCTGTAATACAAATAAAAAAAAAAGTGAGGACCCAACTTGAGTAAAGAGTCATTGTCCAGTTCACTTGTACACAAGCATTACAATTACATCTGAGTCAGTACTGCCGCTCTGTAATGACAACAGAGCACACCGATAGGGACACTCGTTAGCTGAAGGGAGGGGATCTGGGTCCGTAAGGAAACTCTTACACAATCTAGTACACTTGATCAAACTGTACACACCGTCACTCTACGTCAGGTTTTCCCAACATGTGCTTCAACTTTCTGAATTTGTTTTTTCCAATCCTGTTCTTTGCCTTCAAGGGTGTCTTTGTCGTTTTGCCCTGCTTTTTCTCAAATCTGCTCCCGTCCTTTTTGTCAGCCTTTGATGCTTTAGTTTCATCAGTCGTCTTCTCTGCGGGTTTCTTGGCCTTTGCTCCTTTCACAGTCTCTCCATCCATCTTGGCGACCTTTGCCTTTTTTGGTCCAGCGAGTGAGTCCTTTTTGCCTTTTGGTTTGACATTTGCCATTTTCTTGGCGGCTGTTCCATTGGCTTGGGTTTTCTTCTTCAGGTCACCTGCCTTTCCGGGCACCGTCTTCTTTGTCTTGTTGCTTTTGGCTGGTTTCTCTTCAGGAGAGTCTGTAACAACTGTTGCCTCGGGAGCATCTGCATTTTCTTCTTCTAAATGAATAACAAAACACAGGAGGATTAGTTAATGTTGAACAGAAAAACTATCCTGATGAAAGGTGGCATTCGCTCGCAGAAGAAAGTGTTACCTTTTCCAGCTTGTGCCGTTGGAATGACATTGGAGAATTTCTTAAGCTTGGCCACGAAAAACCCATCCATGTTGTGGGAATGAGGGTAAAAGCGGCGAGACAGTTTCAGAGAAGGATGGAATCTACGTTCTTTGAACCTAAAAGAGTGGAAAAATAAAGTTAGGGTTGAAGATCAGAGTATTTTCCTTTCAATAACTCAACCACTTAGTGGAAACACACACTGATCATCTTATTTACCTGGTGAAACCTTCCTTGCCAAAGTCAAGTCCTGTGGGAACTAATTTGACGTTCCTTTTCTTTAAAGCGTAGTCCACCACCCATTCATTCTCCTCCACCTGGTGGAATACATTTCAATCAATATCCAAGCCTTTCGGTTAAATATTTCAGACTCTTCTCACAAATAATGGGTAAAACCCAAGAATGAACACAACAAAACTCATTTTGAAATAAAGGTATAAACAGTAGACGTACCATTATTGAACATGTGCAGTAGACCAGGTATCCTCCTGTCGAGGACTCAGCATTGACAGAGTCGATAGCAGATAGAATCAGTTCCTTCTGCAGGTGAGCAGAGCGATGGATGTCTGAATCATCCTAGAAAACAGAGTTAGAGTGTTAAACACTATTTAAAACCAAACATATGCATCTATATGTATGTGTAAACAGTGAATGTTGTTTTACCTTACTGGTCTTCACAGCTGGATCTTTAGCGATGACTCCTGTGCCTGAGCACGGAGCATCAAGCAGCACTCTGTCAAACCCACCCATTACCTTCAGGGAAATTTCAACAAGTCAGTACTCCATATAAGACTCTAGAGTACATGTAAACCACAGAGATAATGTATGAATGTTACCTTTGGGAACTGCCTTCCATCGTAGTTGCAGATAACAGTGTTGGTGACCCCCAGACGGTGGATGTTGCCCACCACACTCTTCAATCTGTCAGCGTTGGCGTCATTAGCCACGATCACCCCGGTGTTTCTCATTAACTGAGCTGAAGGTGGAACGTTCACATATATCGTTAAATACATTTAATTTGAATGAGAAGTTTGTCTTTGCATTGTTCTACTTTAAAGCTCAATAAATCAATTAGCCGATCCACACAAAATTAATCTGCACCTGTTTTGAGGTTCCCTTATTTGTTTGTCATTTTTTAAGGTAAACAGTCAAACATTCACTGGTTTCAGCTTCTCAAATAAAATCATTTGATGCTCTTCTTTGTCATATGTGATCGTAAACTGAATATTTTTGGAGTTTTGGACTTTTGCTTGGATAAAACAAAAAAATTTAAAACCTCTTGCTGGGCTCTGGTAAGTTATAATGGCCATTTTTCACAGTTTTCCGACATTTCTAGACAAAACTGTTAATCCATTAAATTAGGGATGCACTGATACAGATACCAGTATTGAGTATGGGGTAACATTTCAGATTTTACACTCAGAAAGTGAGGAACTTTTTTTGTATTTGGTCTGAAAAAAGTGGTATTGGTGCATCCCTACATTAAATTTAAAGTGATCAGCAGATTAATAAATACAGAAAACAATAGTTAGTTGCAGTCCTAGTCTACAGTACACAGTTTGAAACATTTCATAAAATGACTAACTGTAATAAAGTGTAAGTACAACTGCAGCACATCTTACCAATATAGGTGGTCTTGCCTCCTGGAGCTGAGCTCATGTCCAACACTAACTCTCCCTCCTGAGGCGAGAGCGCCATGACTGGCAGAAAACTGGAGGCTCCTTGCAGCATGTACTGACCAGACAGATACTCTGGGGTGGCACCTGTTTTAAAACATGGAAAGAATTAAAGCTTGTGCAGCCACAGATATTCTCAAATAAACATCCTTAATAGCTAAATTAATGTAATGAAACTTACCAACGGGTACGGAGGAGTCATAGATGACCAAACCTACTTTAGACCATTTCCCCAGTGGGTCAAGGTTCACTCCTCTGTTGATTAAGGCCTAAATGAAGAAAAACACAGACCACGTTCAACATGAAACACAATACTAGTAAAGTAATTTGATGAGGAGGTCCTCTTTGTGTTCAGTTGTTAATGACATGATCAAAACTAAAGTCAAAGCATAAACATTTGTGTCTTTTAATCTGGATATTCTTTTATTGATTAATTCCTAGTTCTCATCACCCTTGTTGTATGACAGTTCTTCATATGTCTGACCCACATGTCCTGCAACTTTTTCATGAAAATGTGACTCAGAGTGTAGTTTTTGTTCTGCTGACTGCATTTACTCATATTTTAATGTTATTCCCTTGGCATATAGCACCGTTAAATCCTGTAAACAAACCAATTATATTAGTAGGGCTGCACAATTAGAACAAAAATCTAAATAATACCAAACTCACAATTTGGTCATATCCAAAAAGCAAATCGCAGAAGCAGCAATTTTGGATGAATGTAAAATGTGTGTAATATATAGTACAGTACTTTAGTGCTACAGAGATACCCTGACCTACAAAACTTGTTCTCCAGATTTAAGATGTTTGTTTAGTACAGACCCCACAAAAACGTCACATCATGATTTTAGTAGTTTTTGGGGAAAATTTTATACTTTTTCATACTTCTTCAGTTGTGCTTTTTACTAAAGTGACTTTCAATAAATACTATGAAGCATATTATTAGGATTTTTTGACATTCAATCCATCTCTCCCACTCCGAGCAGTTACCTGTGCAAGATCCCGTCTTCTTGTTTTCAGCGTGTTGGTCCGAATAGTGACAGGTCTCTGAATTTCATTGGCCTCAAGGAAATCAACCAACTGTAAACAAGAAAGGGAAAAAAACAGATCGATAACTTTGAAAAACAAAAAAATAATTTAACTCACCACACTATCTCAATCAGGTCTTGACAACAACCACATGTTCAAACAAGTACTATTGTGTACAATCAGTTCTTGTACAGCAGAAGTTCAGTAATGAGAATGTGCTTTCTTTGGTCCTACAGTGGGGAAGACTAATCACTCACCTCTGAAAGAGGGAAGAGGTCTAATAATTTCTCAATGAGGAAGTAGTTGTAGCTGTAATAAGTACAGAGATCTTTCTTCAGAAGAGAGATGTACTCTGCTCTCTCTTTGCCCTCCTCCCTTTTTGTTGAGAAATTACAAAGGACGTCAATGTTGTCCTTTATTCTTTGATGGATTGACTTCAGGTCTAGAGGCAGGACACCTAAGGATGCGGATAAGAAAAGGGTTTAGACTTCATGTAAAACAGTTAAATTTAAAAAAAATTTAAAAATCTTATTGGGCGAAAAAAACCTGAGTTGCTCACCTTCCTTCTCACTTTCCTCTGCCCCAGGCAGCTTAAATTGATCCATTTCATCTATGTTGGCTTGTACTGTGTCTTCCTCGTCCATGTCAGCATCTGATTTATTTTCCTCTTCCTTATCATCATCATCATCGTCGTCTTCCTCCTCATCATCATCATCATCATCATCACTCCCTAGACCCATGGCTTCCTTCAGCTTTTTCTCTTTCTTGGCTGCCCGCTCGATGGGAAGAAGCTAAACGTGGAACAACAAAACAAGGAAAGTCGTCACTAAATTATACAAACTATATATTTACCACATTAACATGTTAAAGATACACTGTTTGGTTTTGTTGCAACACCCAGTAGCATCCTTTTAACACATCAACAGCAAAGTGGGAGGAAATTTAGAGACTCTATAATGAAATTAGTGATATTATCTGTAAATGTGCAAATAAATTTAGAAATTTGAGTCACAATTTGAGTCAAATTTGCAGTCAGATAAAGTGGTTCAAGCATGTCACATACCTCCTCTCCATCACTTTCTTCTTCGGCTGCTTCCTCACCACTGCCATCATCAAGTGTACCATAGTCATCAACCATGTCATCGTCGTCGTCATCATCATCATCGTCGTCGTCGTCCTCCTTCTCCTCCGCTTCTTTTACTCCTAATTTGGCACGCTTCTTTCCTTGGTCTTTTCCTCCCTTCTGCTGCTGCTGCTGCTCTTCCTCCTCCTCATCTTCCTCTTCCTCCCAGTGCTCATCACTGTCATCCTCACTTTCAGGTTCATTAATTTTGCGCTTTCTCTTAGCTGGTTTCAACCACTTACTGTTCTCATCAGTGAATCCTTTAGATAAAAAGAAAAAGATAATAAATACAATGTGCATATTCTGTGATTACTATTTTACTAGGCCATAAACCTCACCTACAAACAACAGATTTAATTGACTCAAATAACATCCAGGGAACAACACACCCATGTTTTCTCATTTGTTGTACCTTTATCGTCTGTAACAGGTAATTACAATCCAAATACACACATGCTTAAGGTCTTTACAGGTGCTGGTTAGTAACTATCTGCACTGTATACAGAAATCATCACAACTACATCCACAGACACTGATGTGGTTACCTTTCTTGGGCTGTTCCTCAGCAGCAGCTTTGGGTTTTTTCAAATTCTGGACTCTTTTTGCAGCTCTGTAAAATGACAACATGAATGAGCAACTGGCAAACAGAGTAACTGTATTTAATGTTACGTAATCAGAAAACCCTTTTACCTTTTCCTGCCTCTACTTGACAGGCGCTTTGGTCCTGTTTCCTCTGCAAACAGAAAAGGAACACTTTGACCAACAAGCCACAATGATGCAGTAGACATTGTTCTTGAACTTTACTGTGTATATATACAGAGTGAATGTGTGTCTTTATAAATAGCAGATATTAGGGGCACAATAATCACCTTCAGTTATAAATTTGGCCAACTCGGTCTCTGCTCCTTGCTGCTTCTTGGTCTTTTTCCCCGGCCCTCTCTTCACTTTGTTGGTGGGATCCAACTTCCGACCCATGACTCCAAAGTACACAAATATGCCCTTTGGGAAAATCTGGGGAAAATAATGATTCATCTTTTTAAAGCCTGTGCAAAACAACAATGTCAGTGTATTTGAACAAAGGTCTGTGTCAGTGCTGTCTCTAGACAATGTTACATTTTAATGGAACTTATTTGCCAAACAACTGCAGAGCGTCAACAACAAAAAGCGACACATACCTTAAGTTTAAGTTATAGCATGTTGTACTGACCATCCCACAAATACTTGTTTAAGTAAATTAAGGCTTACCTGATGACCAACCACAAAAATATGATCAGGTGTTAAATCTAAATACACTGCAGTTAAAAATGTTTTGATCATTATTTTGGTAGAAGACTACAAAACTCTGCGATACCTAGCTGAAGCAGTAAATTCACATCATGACAGAGGAAGATATTTCTCAAGTAATCAAATACTGACAGACAGAGAAACTGCCAGAAGTCCTTAAACTTTTAATTGAGATCTGGTGGAAACAGGTCCGCAGACCTACTGTAACGTTGTGTCACAGACAAGTAGCCAGTTAATCACGTGTAAGACAAACATTTCCATAAGTATCTTATTTAAAAGGCCATATGCGACAGACAGTACTTGTACTTTACAGCCGCTAGTTTTATGGTATTTCATAAGGACTTAAAATTACATTGCTGTAACCATAGCTACCCTAAATGTTAAATCAGAAGGCATTCAAACGCCTTTTGCATTGCACGGTTTGGCAGTGACAGAATAATGACAGAATGAGCTTCAGTGACCCGTTTAACACACAGCGACAATTAACTCCACATGTGGTGTTTTCAAGAACAAGACCGAGAGCTGGAGTTATCGCCACTGTACTTTGGACCGAGTCTTTATAGGAACTGGCCTCAACAACTAAAATACACATACTCACCTCGATTAATCTGCTCCTTTTTCCAGCCCAACTTCTGGACTCTGCGCCGTTTAATCAAAGAACGGTCTCACACGTTGCAATTTCCCCGACACGCTTGCAGAAGAACATCCGGCCGCACATCAGGTGGAGCGTAGCGATGGTGACCACGCGGCGGTGACACACAGCACGACCGTTAGGAGGGACGTTTTTTTTCAATTTTACCAACAAACGTTTAAAAAAGCTACGACGGGGACTAAGAAAAACTATTATATTTTTTGGGGCGGGAAAATTACGAGAATGAAAAGTTACAATGCCTTACCAAAATAAAGTTGTCGTAATGTTACAGGGAATAAAGTTGTAATGTTACAGCGAAGTAAAGTTGTAATGTTGACGGAGAATAAAAAAAAAAAAAAAAAAAAAAAAAATTTTTTTTATAATATATAATATTATATATAGGAGAAACAAAAAAAAAGAAGAAAAAAAAAAAAAAGAGAAAGTGTTGTAATTTGTTACCCGAGAAGTAAATTAGTACTAATATGGAGAATAAAGTTGTAAGTTACGGAGAATTAAATAGCGTAGTGAAGTAATGATGGGGGAGAATAAAAATTGTAATGTTGACCGGGATGAATAAATTCCGTAAATAATTGCATGGGGGTATTTCAGATAAAGGTTGCTAATGGTTGACGGAGAATAAGATTCGTTTAATAATTATGGAGAATAAAGTTGTGTAATGTTGACGAGGAATAAAGTTCGTAAGTATTACGAGGAAATTGTAGTGTAATATTTTACGAGAATAAATTCGTAATAATATGAGGGATAAAAGTTCTAATGTTACCGGAGAATAAATTGTAATAATATTGAGATTAAAGTTGTAATGGTGACGGGAGAAGTAAAGTGCAAGTAATACGCAGAATGTAATGTTGAATATTGACGAGAATAAAATTTCGCTTGAATAAGTGATGAGAATAAAGTTGTAATGTTACGAGGAATGAAATTCGTGAATTAATATGAGAATAAAAAGTTTGTAATGCTT